TTATGCACCGGATCTCTGGCACTAAGTGGGGGCGGGTCGAGACCTCCTCTTTAAATTTTATACAACTATGGTTCGCGGCAAACTCGCCTATGCGAGTGAGGTGTATGGCTTGGCCTCTTTCTCCTCTCTTCGCCACCTAGACATTCTCCAGAATTCGGCCATCCGCAGTATGCTGGAGGCATTCCCCTCCACCCCCATTTGCAATCTTGGAAGCAGAGTCTAGGATAGTCCCCCTCTCGTCGGTGAGAACTGCGAGGGACTGTTTATGATTCCATCACATGGCTTCTCTGCCTTGTACTTACCCCTGCCGCCTCTCTCCATGGATGTGGGAGGCAGCCTCTGTCCCCCCACGTTTGGTTCAGCCTTCCATTGTAGCCAGGGCCCAACGTTGCCTGGCCTGCCTCACTCCCTGCACCAGTGATGACTCCCTCCCCTCTCCACTCTCCGGTCCCCCCCGCCCTGGATGGACCTGACACGGTACATCCACCTGGATTGGCCCTCCAGGAACAGGGAACCCCCTCAGTTAGCTGCATTTCTCTTTGAAGAGTTTCGTTCTGTTATGTATGGTTCTTCATTCTCCATCTACACGGACGGCTCAGCACGGATTTCACCCCCTTCTACATCTTGTGCGGCCTTCTTTGCTGATCTCTCTCTATGTCAAACTTGGCGGTTAGACCCTGCTCACTCGGCCCTGGCAGGAGAGCTCTTTGCCATTCACCAGGCTCTGGTTTTTGTCCTTGCTCACGTTACCCCTCAGCCTTTGGTTCTCTTCTCTGATTCCCAGTCCTCTCTGGCACTTTTGTGCTCTGCCCGTCCACGGTCCCTACGCATCCTCGTCTGACAAACGCAATCTCTTCTTCTGCGTTTCTTGCGGAGTCCAGGTTGGAGCATCTTCCTTCAGTGGGTACCTGCTCATGTTGGCATTCGGGGCAATGAAGTGGCGGATCGAGCGGCCTCCCTCGCACACACACTTCCTACCTTCACCCCTCTTGCACTGGGCCACAGTGATTTCACAAGGACTGTTTGGAAGGAAATCCGCCATTTGTGGCAGTAGGACCTGGTACGCTCCCTCTCTTCGTCGGCACTGAGCTCTGTCCGATCATTCAATGGCCCTTGCCCCTGGGTTTGCCATCCCAATCGCTCAGTGGATGTTGCATTGACTCGCCTCCGGGTTGGGCACTCACGACTGGCAGCTCATCTGCACCGCCTTCGGATGACGGACTCTCCGTACTGCCCGTGGTGTCCCTCACAGCAGGAGACGGGGGAACACTTCTTGCTGTAGTGCCCTCGTTACCACTTTGCACGAACTATTCTCCGTGCAGCCTTGCGCACGTTTGAGGTGCAGTCTTCAGCTCTACCTCTCCTTCCCAATGGAGAGGGGTTTGACCCTCCGGACCGTCAGGAGATCTTGGCTTGTACTTGCTCATTCTTGCTGGCCTCAGGACGCATCAGGGACATATAACCTTAACTCCATATGTAATGCATACATAGGTCAATGTGAGACAATACAGCCATTATTATCTCGAACACTACCAAACAGGTGCATACACTGTACTAAAGTACGCATGAAAAACAGAAAAGGCACCTTATGTAAAATGTGTAAGGGGTGGGTGCATGAATGATGGATGTATGTACAATTATAGCAACGGTGCCAGAATTAATTTTGTGTGTAACAAATGCACTTTGGCACAGTTACCCTTTAGCAATGATGACATTGATTTACCTAATTTTAGTACAAATGACCCATTGCCGTATATTGATGATTATAATTGTTTTATGAAAACAGGCTTTATTCATGTCAACGCAAGATCACTTCTTCCTAAATTGGCAGAGATTAGGATTCTAGCTAACAAAATTAGGGATGATACGGTTGGATGATACGGTGACTGACGACCAGGTCAAAATAGAAGGTTACAATATAAAACGCTTAGATAGGAACAGAAAGGGTGGTGGAGTATGTGCCTACATTAGAAATGACTTAGCTTACAACCCAAGACCTGATTTAAATAAAAGTAAACTGGAGATTCTATGGTTTGAAGTGCTGCTTCCCAAGACCAAACCCATCTTAGTAGGAACTAGATACCGCCCTCCTACCCAGGACCAGTTCTTAGAAGACTTTTCCAGAGTATTGTCTGGACTTGAAAAAAATTGCGAGAAAAATAATACTAGGCGACTTCAATATTTTTTTCAGCAGCAAAATAACGGGCTATGCAAAAAGGTATAAGCAAATTCTAGGTTTAAATAGTTACACTCAACTAATTAATACACCAACCCGGATCACCAGTTCTCAGCCCCCCTAATTGACCACATATTTTGTAACCGCGCTGAGAAACATTAGTCAGTAGGCGTCATTACCACGGGTTTCTTAGTGTTTCTTTTTCATCATTTACTGCACCAGGAAAATCACTGGGGATAGGATAGGCCTACACAGGACAATAAAATTGAGGTCAACTGGAAACTACAGTAAAGAAAACTGGTAATAGGCTACACAATTGGGGACTGGACAGAGATAACAAGTTGCACGGACGTAAATGTTGCCTGGGAAAAATTCAAAACAATGTTCACTACCATCCTTGATAATATTGCACCAGTTAAAGAGGTTAGGATTAAACGAAGAACTGAACCCTGGATGACTACTGAGATATTAGATAATATAAAATTCAGAGACCAGCTGCTAAAAAGATTTAAAGCAAACAGAGAGGATATTGCAGCACTAAACGAATTCCAAAGGGTGAGGAACAGAGTACAGACTTACAAAAGGAGCAAAGGCAAAGCACTATTGCTCAAAAATTGAAGAGTATAAGCATAACCCAGAAAGCTCTGGAAAACAACCAAAAACAGTTGGGGTATAGCCATAAGCCAGTCGATAGGTCTAACATAGTACTCACTATCGATAATGAGGTATGCCACGAAACATCTAAGGTGGCAAATTGCTTTAATTCCTACTACACATCTGTTGCATCAACACTAGTAAGCAAACTACCAGCTGCATCAAATACATTAAACACAGACTCTGATAAGTTTTAAACATACTATACCAATAAAAGGGTAACCTCCAACAGTTGTCAACTAGTAAGTGTATCTCATGACTTCATTCAAAAAGAACTAAGCAGATTAAACCCAACTAAGAGCACAGGCCCTTCTGGTACTTCTGAACTGTCAATCCCTATTGCTCACATAATAAATCTACCAATACCGCTAATACCGTACCGGAGGGGTTCAAGGAGGCCAGAGTTACTCCTATCTTCAAGAAAAATAGTAGGTCTGATGTCAGCAACTATAGGCCTGTTAGTATACTCAGTATAATATCTAAAATTCTAGAGAGGGCGGTGTACTCTCAAGTAGTTAAGTACCTTAATGACAACAACATTCTCCATAGCTATCAATCGGGCTTTAGAAGATCTTACTCAACCGACACCTCCCTAATTCATCTGATGGATTACCTGAGAACTGAAATGTCAAAGGAGAACCTCATAGGTATGGTAAACCCTTTGACCTGCAAAAAGGCCTTCGATACTGTCAAACCACAATATATTATGTAAGAAAGTTCAAGCTATCGGTATAGGTTTTTAGACTGGGTTTAAGTCCTACCTTAGCAACAGGAGACAAATAGTCAAAATCAACAAAACGGAATCAGAACAACCTGCCGATAGCATGTGGAGTTCCCCAAGGTAGAATTCTGGGTCCCTTATTATTCTTATGTTATGTCAATGACATGCTATCAGTGTCAAGTGCAAAAATCCTACTATATGCAGATGACAGTGCTCTGTTAGTGTCAGGTAAAGACCACAAGATATTAGCTAATGTTTTAACACTGGAACTGGAGTCCTGCAGCAAATGGTTAGTAGACAACAAACTATTATTACACCTCGGGAAAACTGAAGTCATTCTATTTGGCACGAAACATAAACTGAGAAGGGTAAATAATTTTAATGTCCAGTGTAAAAAGGAGCCCATCACTTTGGTTTCATCAGTAAAATATCTAGGAATCCCTTTGACCCATGCATGTCAGGAGAATTGATAGGGAACAGTGTAGTAAAGAAAGCGAATGCCAGACTGAAGTTCCTGTATAGACAAGCACCAGTGTCTACCTACTGAGGCTCGCAGGTCCCTATGTCTAGCCCTTATACAATGCCATATGGATTTACGCTTGCTCTTCATGGGATCTGCCTTGGGCAAAAAAACTGAAAGATAGACTGCAAATCACCCAGAACATAATCGTAAATTCATCCTGGGGGTGGGACCAAGGAACATGTGGCCAGGATGAATTACAGCAGTTGGACATGCTGAATGTTGAAGACAGAGTAAAACAACTGAAGCTAAATTTATGTTTATAAAATTGCTCACAAACAGTGTCCAGAATATCTTGCTGTCAATTTTGTCAAGGTTGGGAACCAAAGCAATCATAGTACTAGGGGGAGAGAGCACAACTTTGTAGTACCCAAAAGTCATTGGCAGGCTTCAAACACCTTTTATTATACAGCAATAAAGGAATGGAACAGACTGCCCGCACATGTCAAAGCCAGTCATAGCATGAACCGGTTCAAGAAGAGTGCCAAAAGGTGTCTGATGAATGTAGCTACAGAAAGAGAGGGAATGATTTTCTATTTTTTTAGCTAACATCGTGTAAATTTTACCTTATTCCTAGTAATGACCCTCGTATTGTAGATAGTCTTAATGACTCTCGTGTAGTAGATAGTCTTTTTAGTATGATAATAAGATGTTATCTTCATTATAGAATAATAAGAAAATATTATAACCTTTATATTATAATAATAAGGTAATAGGACCCCAATGGAAATAAGTCACTCTGTCTGACTTTTTTGGGTTATCCTAGGTTCTCTACTCATATGCTGCTATGTTTGATAATTCTATGTAACTGTATTTGTGTATACCTGAATAAACTTACTTACTTACATACTTCCACTTTGGTCGAGGTTCCTTCTCCGATTATTATTATAATCAAAAAAGAAGCGCTAAGCCACAAGGGCTATACAGCGTTCCTTCTCCGAGCACAGGAAGGCCGGGCTCGATACGGCGCATGCTGTCAGTGGCCCTATAAACCCAAACACCAACAACAACCTCCACGCTGCTTGTCACTCCACACCAACAGTAACTTCATCCAGGTTCATTAAACTAGTTTCAACAATTATCTCCAGTTTTATATAAAACTGGAGATAATTGTTGCCTACACTGCAGTTAACTGCAGTGTTGGCACTCCTCTAGCAAGACAGTGATGGAGTGAATGATGATGAGTTTTTCTTCTTTTCCAGGTCACTTGTCTTGGTGGGAAACGGCAGATGTGTTAAAAATTAAAAATATTACAATTAGTATAATTTACAGTATTACAACAGTACAATTTTAAGTGTTTATTAAAATTCCAGACTGATTTAGCGGTCGTAAGTTAATTGGATTTCTCTTTTTTCCAAACTGGTTAAAGGATTTCAGACATTGGAAAGTGTTGGTGTTATTAAGTTTGTGAGATGAGATGATTTTTAATTATAGCGCTAAATTGACTGGCAGAGAAGGAACCTTTTTACTGGGTCAGGCAATGAGTTCCAGATCTTGGGACCCTCTATGTGCATTGCATTTTTGTATGGGGTGAGACAGACATGAGGGATGTCAGAGAGAGTTTTGTGTCTGTTTGTTTTCTTGATAATTTGTGTAGCTGTATTTATGTGTACCTCTACATAAATATACATATGTATCGCAATAAATCACGTAATTATCGTTACTTGATATTTTTAATGAACTCGCAGGTGAAGCAGCTCAACCCATCGTAAAGCAGAGATTAATAACTTCTCAAGAGTCATCATTGTGCTTTATATTGGGATTTGTTACAACCACTGCACCATGGTTGAAGACCAGAAACAGGAGGTTAGTTCATCGTATCCTGGAGGGTTGGCCTTGCTTAAATTAGAATTTGTTACACCATTAAGGAGGATGTATTGGAGCTGGTAAAGGGCTCTTGATCCAAGGAATTAGAGCTCTTCCCCTATTTCTTGAATTAGAACCTCATTACCTTCCATAATTTGTTGAAATGATACCTTGCTAGAGTTATGTACACTTATAGGAGAGGCTGGTCAAAAGTGTCTATAATTAATCTTTTTGGTTACTATAGTGCTGGCCTCGCTAATTCATTTTACACAACATTTTCTTGGCAGAAATACCCTATGAAAGACAAGCAGTATGTAGAGTATTCCTCCCCCCCTCCAAAAAAGATAGTTAAAAAATAACTTTAAATAATTTTTTTTAACAGAGAAATAATGAAGTGCCGACATTATGGTAGGCAATGTACTGATGAAGATAAGATTTATTTGGATTTTTTACTCGGGGAAAGGTTACTCACCCAGGATACCCCAAGAAAATCAGTGTGTCATTGAGGATTGTGTCTTATACTGTACCTACTTACTGCTAGGTGAACAGGGACAGCAGGTGTAAGGAAACACGTCTAGCATTTCCACCCATGTCGGGGGTCAAACCACAGACACTTAGTATGTGTGAGGTGAGAGCATTGCCAACCAAGCCATGGGACACCACGATTGCTTACAAATGAAGACTTCTGCATTCAGTGTCTAGCCAAATTTTTTTAAATTATGCAGTCTAATCCCAAAACACTGGATAAGTCAGAACAAAGGTAGAAAGTTTTCAGGAGGAAGCTGGATAATTTCTTGTATGATTTCTTGGGTCAACCCAGTTTGGATAGCTATGTAAGCCTATGGAATACAGATTGCAACAATCTAGTGGATCAGGCAGTCACCAGAGAAGCCAAGTTTCAGGTATGTTGTGAGTATTTAGTAACTTGTAAATTCTTATCAAATCATAATTATAACTAAAGGAGAAATAAACTTGCAGGTTGGCTCAAGTGCAACTATAGCTTCAGATTTACCAAAAGGGGTAGCACTGCTTGCAGATCTTGCTACCAATCTTAATAATGCTACAGCCACTTTTGATGTTTTGGCTGAGAAGATCAAGAATGGAGAACTGAATTCAGCCAAGGTGAGTTACTTTAAAATTACCATTATCTGATATAAAGCAATTTGGCAATTATAGTACATTAGTGTACCTGTCCCATGAATTGCAGATGGAGAATTGAAGCCTCCAAAAGCTCTAATGCCCATACAGTGGACCCCTGCCTTACGATATTAATTCGTTCCTGAGAGCTCATTGTAAGCTGAAATTACCATTAGCCGAATTAATTTTCCCCATAAGAAATAATGGAAATCAAATTAATCCATTCCTGACACCCCAAAGTATGAAAAAAAAAGTTTTTTTACCACATGAACTATTAATTTTAATACACACAAACTGAAGAAGACATGGTGATGATTGATGGGATGGGAGGGGAGAGTGTGGAAGTTATTGTTTAGAAGGGGAATCCCCTTCCATTAGGACTTGAGGTAGCGAATCCTTTTCCGGGGTTACTTCCCTTCTTCTTTTAATGCCACTAGGACCAGCCTGAGAGTCACTGGACCTCTGTCGCAAAACAAATCTGTCCATAGAGCTCTGTACCTCCCGTTCCTTTAACACTTTCCTAAAATGGGCCATAACGTTGTCGTTGTACAGGTTGCCAACACTGCTTGCAGTAGCTGTGTCAGGGTGATTTTCATCCGTAAAGGTTTGTAGTTCAACCCACTTTGCACACATTTCCTTAATCTCTTTTTTTCAATTCCATACTAATTCTCGCCCTTTTCACCACAGAGATGGCACTAGAAGCTTTCTTGGGGTCCATGGTGACTTATTTTGCAGTTACAAGCACTAAAAACACTGAGATAATGTGGAATGTCCCGAATGTATGTGTAGATGCGACTGCACTGGCTGGCTTGTAAACACTGGCACTGAGGCCACATGTGGGACGCGTCTTGGACGAATCACACAAGGCGAGGAAAAATGTTTGCGTTCAAATGCTTCGTATGGTGGATTTAACATAACGGGATGCATTCGTAAGGCGGGGGTCCACTGTATAAGGTTTACTACTTAGCATATACAGTACAGTGGAACCTCAAATTTCGAACTTAATCCGTTCCAGGAGCTAGTTCTAAATTCAAAAAGTTTGAAAAGCGAAGCAATATTTCCCATAAGAAATAATGGAAATACAATTAATCTGTTCCAGAAACCCAAAAATATCCACAAAAAAAAAAATATTTTTTTTTTCAACAAACCGGCCGTATCCCACCAAGGCAGGGTGGCCCAAAAAGAAAAACGAAAGTTTTTCTTTTTAAATTTAGTAATTTGTACAGGAGAAGGGGTTACTAGCCTCTTGCTCCCGGCATTTTAGTCGCCTCTTACAACACGCGTGGCTTACGGAGGAAGAATTCTGTTCCACTTCCCCATGGAGATAAGAGGAAATAAACAAGAACAAGCACTAGAAAGAAAATAGAAGAAAACCCAGAGGGGTGTGTGTATATTTATATGCTTGTATACATGTATGTGTAGTGTGACCTAAGTGTAAGAAGTAGCAAGACATACCTGAAATCTTGCATGTTTATGAGACAGAAAAAAGACACCATCAATCTTACCATCATGTAAAACAATTACAGGCTTTCATTTTACACTCATTTGGCAGGACGGTAGTACCTCCTTGGGCGGTTGCTGTCTACCAACCTACTACCTATAAAATACATTTTATAGAGATTAATTATAGTTTTACATACACACAACAAATATAGTGTACAATTATGTATTAATAAATTTAAAGAAACATATAAAATAAGTTTTACTTACCTTTATTGAAGATTGGTGATGGCATCTGGAAGATAGGGAGGAGGAGAGAGGGAGTTGGGGATAGTGTTTGGAAGGGTAATCCCCCTCCATAAGGACTTCATTTATCATAGCCCTCTCAGGGGTTACTTCCCTTCTCTGTCTTAATTTTTAATGCCATTATGGACAGCTTGAGAGTCACTGGGACCAATGTCTCACAAAATAAACTGTCCAACAGTTCCTCTGTTTCTGGTGCCTCTAAGATTTCCAAAAATGGGACATAGTTCTGTTCTACTGAAACTTGTTGCAAAAGATGGCCTTGTTTTTTCAGATTGCCAGGGTGGTGGTTACTCCACAAACATTTGGACATCATTTCCCAACTTGGCGGCATAAATCTCCTTAATCTTTGGAATCGGCATTGCAGCTTCCCTTGCCTTTTCACAAATAATCGTCTCTGAAATGCTGTCACCTGCATCTTTTTTTCCTTGATCCACAGCGCAACAGCTTCTCAAAACATGATCGTTGTCGTTGGTCTGTTATGGTAGCATTATGAACACCTTTTTAGGTTAGTAGGTTGGTAGAACAGCTGCCGCCCAGGGAGGTACTTACCGTCCTGCAGGTGTTGTGTAAACTAGGAAAGCCTGTAATTGTTTTTAAACATGTTGGTAGGATTGCTGGTGTCCTTTTTCTGTCTCGCAAAACATTGCAAGATTTCCAGGTACGTCTTGCTATTCTTCTTACACTTGGGGTACCACTGCACATACCATGTACAAGCATATATATTATATACCCCTCTGGGTTTTCTTCTATTTTTCTTTTCTAGTTCTTGTTCTTGTGGGTGAACTGGAATGACCTGACTAAAAAAAAAAAAAAAAAAAAGGGGGTGTCAGGTAGGTGGTGATGGTTGCCGATATGATCGCTTTCCAGGGCATAGTTCTAGTGCTCATGTCAAATATGTTTCAAAAATAGGGGAAAAGCAGGATCATACAAAAATATCGATCCTAAAATGGGGATTATGATCAATAGATTAAAATATCTGATTGGTCAAAGAGAGTCATATATAAGGCAAATCAAAAGAGGAGATGGGCAATTAAAGGAAATCGATTTATTCACGTTAAAGAGAGAAATAAAAAGGGAAATTTTAGAAAAGCAAAAAGAGATTTATGAGGTTTAAAGTTGGCAAGAGGAATCGAAGAAAGACTAACCCAGGTTCTTTCAAGTATTTTCAGGAGTAAGATAGGGGACCAAGATAGGCCCACTCCAAAAGGTTCCTCGGGTCAGGCTCCCACTGGAACAGTGGATAAGGAAAATGTGTAGAATTTTTAACACATACTTCCTCTCAGTTTTTACCAGGAGGATAACCAGCTATATTCCAGTAATGTAAATTTATGTAGAACAGGAACGTGAATTAAAAACGGTGGCACGATTAGGGTCACAAGTGACAATTGGTCCTTAGTGCAAATAAGATAAATAAAACCTAACAAAATCCCCAGGGCCCTGATGAACTGTATGCAAGGGTTCTAAAGGAATGTAAAGAGGAGCTTAGCACACCTTTGGCTAATCTTTTCAACTATCCTAAAAACTGGAGGGTGCCAGAAAAGTGGAAAATGGCAATGTGAACCTATTTTCAAAACAGGTGACGGCCCTTAGCTTCGAATATGACCAAAAAGCCTAACCCCCTAGGGGGAAAATTTATGGAATCATAATTCCCGGGCGTTGTAGCCACCTTGAAAAGATAAATTAATCAACGAATTCAGCAGTTTTAAAAAGGGGCGTTCCTCCCGACGAATTTATTAATTTTTTCACAAGGTTTTGGGGAGGTAGATCTGGTAAGGGATATGTTTTGTGTATATGGCTTCAGAAAGGCTTTTGACGGTCCCCATCAGAGCTTTTGGGGAAAAAATAAAGCACATGGAATAGGAGGAGAAATTTTTTTCCTGGATAGAGGAGGGTTTAACAAATGGGCAGCAGAGGTTTGCTAAATGGGGGAAATCAGAGGGGGAAAGCGTTAGAGCGGTGTTCCACAGGGGTAGTTTTGGGGCCCCCCTGTGTTCACAATCTACAAAAACGACATAGTGAGGGCATAAAGAGCGACATCGGCATTTTCCCGATGCAAAAAAATAGGCCGTCGAATTCATTTTGACGAGGACATTGAGCACTCAGGAAGATATGAAGCTGATGCAGTGGGGGAAAAGGGGAGATGCATTTTAAATATAGACAAATGCAAAGTTCTAAATGTTGGAGGAAATAACATGCCACTATAAACAAAATTATGTAGTCTTAATTTTACGGTTTGCGAAAAAAGATTTAGGAGTTCGGGTTTAGCGAAAATCTGAAACCAAAGAAAAACGTGCATAAGTGTTCGCAATTTTAAAGAAATAGAACCCTTGGCTTCATTCAAGAAGCATAAAAAATAAAAGTCCTCGGGTTGTTTTTAAAACTTATAATCCTTGGTTGGCCTCTTTTAGTTTATGTCCCCGTTTTGGTCCCCGTATTACGGATGGATATAATTCTCTGGAAAATGTAAAGGGGATGAAAAGTTGATCCCATGTATCAAAAAACCTTCCCTATGGGATAGACAAGGGCCCCTGAATCTGCATCTCTAGAAAGCGTAGAATTAGGGGGGTAGTTTGGGGTGTATAAAGGGAAAGACGGGAAATTTAAAAAAAGGGGGATTAAATAGTGTGCTGAAAATATTACTTAGACGGGACTCGCAGAATGGTTTTAAATTTGGGAAAAAAATTCGATTCAGGAAGGATATGGAAAGATGGTTTGGAAATGATTTTGTGGATGAGGGAAAAACCCCCGAGTACAGTTATGAGGCCAGAACGTTGTTTTTGTTAAAAAAAATGGTTGGATAAAAATGAGTGGTGTGGGTGGGTGAGTTGGACCTGATAGTTGTGCTACAGGTCGGTTGCCGTGTTCCCCCCTTTTAAGTCAATTGCCTGCCGACTGGTTTGGGGGCATTTGGGTTAAGCCGGTAGGAGATTGGACCTGCCCCGCATGGGCCGAGGGCCCTTTTGCAGTGTTCCCTTTGTTCTTAGTTCTTATTCCATGGGGAAGTGGAACAAAATTCTTCCCCTGTAAACCCTGCATTTTTCACAAGAGGCGTAAAAAAGCGGGAGCAAAGGGGTAGTAACCCCCTTTTCCCGTTTATATTATAATGTAAGAGGAGAAACTTTCGTTTTTTTTTTGGGCACCCCGCCTTGGTGGGATAGACCGGTGTGTTGAAGAAGTTAACACCTTTCGCAACATCAGCTTCCTTTATTTTTCTTTCTTTGCCAGGCAGAAGCGATGGT